CATCCACTTATTTTCTCTACTTAATAAAAATACTGTTAGGGGTAAGGAGCTCTTCTTCGGTGGAACCCAAGAGCCTCCATTAGGAGCCCAGTCCTCCTTCCACAACCAAAAATTGCTTCCTGGAGAATAAAAGGAAAAGACTGGAATGAAAAATGTTACCAGGGCATTTCCAGGGGGTGGGGTTGCAGATGATTGACATGTTTCTTTTTTATGCTTATCTTTAGTTTTTACATTTTCTTGTATGAGCAAATTACCTTTATAATGAGGAAAATAGTCAATATTTAGAGGGGAGGTAATATATTTGGACCAGACAAGGCTACGTTTGAATCCTGCCTTCACACTTAGAAGCTGCGCCTCCATGGACAAATCATTTAATCTTTCTAAACCCCAGTTTGCACATCTGTAAAATGGGGAAAATAATATCTACTTTACATGGCCATTGTGATGATTAAAGTATTAGGTACATGATAAGCATTCCCAAATTTACAACTATTATTAATATTAATATGAATTGAAATCATAGTAACAACCACAACGACTTGATCCTAAGTTCTCTCTTAAGAGCCCAGAGTTTGGCTTTCTGGGCACTCAAGAGCATGGTCAGGGCAAACCAGGGCCGACAGGCAGAGACCCAGAGAATTCCCCAGTTATAAGGAATTCTCACCTTTTATAATCTGGGCTATCCTTTCCTTCCAAACCTCGCTCTTTTTTTTTTTTTTTAAGGGTGGAGGGTGGGGAGCAAGCAAAATCATAAGCTCTTGTATCATTAGTTGGGTTGCCTGAATGGCTGAGAAAGCAAGGACTTTGCAGTAGCCTTTCTCCATATGTCAGGGCTAAAAAATCAGTCATTAAAAAAGAAAAATAAATTTCATAGATATGTGTGATCACTGTATTCCTCTAGTGAGCCAGGCACTTTCATACCAGAGTCCCCTGAACAGCAATCTACTTTGATGTTAGGCACTTGCGCATCTAGGTCTCCGTGGGCGCTGACAGACTGCAGACACTTCCTTCCCTCGCCAGCAGGGCTCTCCCGCGGTCACCCAGTCCCCTCTGGGGCTAGAAGGCGTTGGGAGCCGGGCCAACCCCTCCCCATAATCACCCTGACGAGGCTCTTTGCTGTCCATCATCGTTACGAAGCTAACCAAAATGAACTGACTATCCTACCCTGAGCCAAACAGGGCTCGAGGTTCCGGAGCCTCTTACTGTGCGCCCACCCACCGCGGCGGCAGTGGGATGGGGAATGGGTTGGGGGCCGAAGGCCTGTGAGAAGAGTCAGAAGGGAGTCGATGCAGCATCCCTAGGCGATGGTTTCTACCCGCTCTCTAGGGGGAAGTTTCTCTTTTCCCTCTAACCTGCAGCTTCCCTGCTGCAGAGCCATGCCCAGTTCCCAGTCCAACCCAGACCGCCTGGAGGATGGGCGCCCAGACGCCCAGACGCCCCCGCAAATGGGGAGCATTTTCCTAGGGCTTCCAAGTCAGGCGGGTGCCTTGCACCACCCTCCACCAGGTCTCAGCAGGCACACCTATTGCTCCTAGGTCTTTGCACCCACTCCCCTCTCTCCCTGCCCTTACCCTCCCTCCAGGGGGTTCCCTGGAGTCCCTGCCCCAGACCAATCAGGGTGCCCGTCCCCCGGGCCCTCTAACTTACGGTGCAGCAGTCCATACTGGTGTTGGGGGGGGTCCTCGCCTGGGCGGAGCTGGGGCAGGGTGGGGGTGGGTCCG